GGCAGTCGCCACTGTTGCCGTTCACAGATCATTTTCAGCGAACTTCACACCTCTATATCTTGGTAAGTACTGATGGGATTTTTTTTTTTTTGAACTAAAACAATCAGAAAAATAATCTTAACATTTACATAAGAAAAAATATTTTTTTTTTTTTTTTAATATTTTGCGACACCAGGAGACCCTTCAGGATTGGGCCTTTCGACAGTCAAAGGGTTAATGAATCTCAACACCGTTTTACAAAGGGGCGTTTCTGTCTTACGAATTTACTAACATTTTTCACTAAGGTGTTTGAGGAGGTAGATCATGGTAATGAATATGTTATTGTGTATATGGACTTCAGTAAGGCTTTTGATAGAGTTCCACATAAGAGGCTATTGAGGAAACTTAAGGTACACGGGATAGGAGGAAAATTTTTTTCCTGGGTAGAGGCATGGCTGACAAATAGGCAGCAGAGAGTTTGCATACATGGGGAGAAATCAGAATGGGGGCACGTCACAAGCGGTGTTCCTCAGGGGTCAGTGTTGGGCCCGTTGTTGTTCACAGTTTACATAAACGACATAGATGAGGGAATAAATAGCGACATAAGCAAATTTGCTGATGGCATCAAAATAGGCCGTCCAATTCATTCTAATGAGGGCACTAGAGCACTCCAGGATGATTTGAATAGACTGATGCAATGGTCGGAGAAGTGGCAGATGCAGTTTAATATAGACAAATGCAAAGTTCTAAATGTTGGACAGGAAAATAACCATGCGACATATAAACTAAATATTGTAGATCTTAATACTACTGATTGCGAAAAGGATTTAGGAGTTCTGGTTAGCAGCAATCTAAAACCAAGACAACAGTACATTAGTGTTCGCAATAAAGCTAACAGAATTCTTGGCTTCACATCTAGAAGTATAAATAATAGAAGTCCTCAGGTTGTTTTTCAACTCTGTATATCCTTGGTTAGGCCTCATTTAGACTATGCTGCTCAGTTTTAGCACTGTATTACAGAATGGATACAAGTGCTCTGGAAAACATACAGAGGAGGATGACAAAGATGATTCCGTGTATCAGAAATCTTCCCTATGAGGATAGACTGAGGGCCCTGAATCTGCACTCTCTCGAAAGGTGTAGAATTAGGGGTATATGATCAAGGTGTATAAATGGAAAACAGGAATAAATAAAGGGGATGTAAATAGCGTGCTGAAAATTTCCAGCCAAGACAAGACTCGCAGCAATGGTTTCAAGTTGGAAAAATTCAGATTCAGGAAGGATATAGGAAAGCACTAGTTTGGTAATAGAGTTACGGATGAGTGGAACAAACTCCCGAGTACAGTTATTGAGGCTAAAACGTTGTGTAGTTATAAAAATAGGTTAGATAAGTACATGAGTGGGTGTGGGTGGGTGTGAGTTGGACCTGACTACCTTGTGCTGCTGGATCTGGTGCCGTGCTCCTTCCTTGAGTGGAGGTGACCAGACTGGGTGGGTCATTGGGCTAATCCGGGGAGGGGGGGCATGGACCTGCTCTGCATGGGTCAGTAGGCCTGTTGCAGTGTTCCTTCTTTCTTATGTTCTTTCCCTTTTCCCCCTCATCAATTCTATGATTCACCTCCTCCTTCATAGACCCATCTGCTGACACATCCACTCCTAAATATCTGAAGGCATTCACCTCCTCCATACTCTCTCCCTCCAATTTGATATCCAATCTTTCCCCACCTAATCTTTTTATCCTCATAACTTTACTCTTTCCTATATTCACTTTTAATTTTCCTCTCTTACATACCCTACCAAATTCATGCACTAACCTCTGCAACTTCTCTTCAGAATCTCCCAAAAGCACAGTGTCATCAGCAAGGAGAAACTGACAACTCCCACTGTATGTTTGATTCTTTATCTTTTAACTCCACACCTCTTGCCAAGACCCTCACTTTCACTTCTCTTACAACCCCATCTATAAATATATTGAACAACCAAGGTGACATCACACATCCTTGTCTAAGGCCTATATGTATATTAACGTAATACACAACATTCAGTGAGAATCGGTGATTATTATTATTATTATTAATATGGTGTCTCAAGACATAAGACACTCTTACTAATTTTAATGTGTACCTGCATGCCAGCACAATGTGTAAGTTTATTTAGGTACAGGTATACATAAAATATGAAACAACTTAAAAACACTTGAAATTTTGGAGTTTCTAGACATAATGGAGAGACTTAGTGCTCTATGGATCTCACGGAGAATATAAACAAACTGGGTGGGGCACAGTGACCTTATTAGAAAGTCAGGTGGGGGGAGCTGTATAGAGAGTTTTGATCATGATCTGAAATGACCGTATTAGCAGAACACTGTAAAGTGAAACACCGTAAAGTGGGGCCCTACTGTATTGCTCATTTGAGCAGTTTTGTATTTTCGTGGAGAAATGAAACTTGTTAGAAACTAACTGGGCGACGTGACATGCTGAAAGAGTTAAGATAAATTTACCTATGATTTATATATTTTCAGGAAAACTTATTCCGTATGCAGCGACCAGTTGGGTGTAAAAAACGAACTAGCAGTTTGGAAGACTTTCCCAGGGCTCCAAGATTGACTCAGCTTGCAAGAAATGCTCTTTGTCATGACACCTTTAAAGGCTCACAGTCTGGTAAAGATAACCTGTGTATTTTATATTGTAGGGGTTTCATAAACAAATCCCTTCAAGGAGGGCATTTTGATTTTGGTGCAAGGCCCTTGTTCCAGAGAAATGGAATTGTCTTCCCCTTTCTTGTATCATTGACCCAAGGGAAATAAGTCACAAAAACAATATACATACTCTGATTACTTCATCATAGAAATACAAACAAGTATAATTGCAAGTGTGTAAAACCAGAAACATGATACTGGTAGAAAATCAGAAGTTGCACAACCATAGCTTGCATTTTCAATATTGTGTGATTTAGATTTAGGTTTTCATTTCCAATAAAAGTGTGCCTATTTCCACTGAGGTGCACTTGAATGAACTTTAGTTCCATTGGTAGTGCACATTTATGTTAAGGAGCGCTTTGGTAGGCAGGCCCCTGACCTCCCACTACATATAAGATGAGGGAGGGTAAGGAGATGTAAACAAGCAGACTCCCATGTGGGTCAGTGTAACTGGATGCATACTGTATAATTTTAGCTTGGTGTACATTTCTCAGTGTTTCCTTATTTTCATTGCCTCATCTCATCTGTCAATATTTATCATGGCTTTCAAACAGTGCAGGTGATGCTGGTGAAGCAAGGAAGAAGAACATAAGCACTCAGTATTCTTTGGAGAAAGCTTAGATATAGGTGAAAACTCAGAGGCCTTAAAGAGTGTGGACATAATTCCTTTGCATAAAGAGGCAGTAGAGCACTAGCCAAAAATTACATTGTACTTCATAAAACTTTGAAAGGGTGATGAGACATCAAATTACAAACTATGAAATATCATTATGTACACAATCCAGACCTAAATTGATTTAGAAAAGGAAGATTCTTGTCATAACTATTAAACCAATATTACAAAATTAGGGAGCCATTGAAAGAAAACCAAAATGCAGATTGGTCTGCACAAAATTTGCAAAGGCATTTGACAAATGTGATTATGGAGTGATTGCATATAAATTGAGGGCATTATGTATAAAAAGAAAAGGTAGGTAAATGGATTTTCTATTTTCTGACAAACAGAACACAAAGAGTAGTAATTAACAGAGCAAAATCAACCATTAGCAAAATAAAAACTTCATTACCTCAAGGCACAGTCCTGGCACCTTCACTTTTTCTTATCTTTTAGCATACACAGATAAAAACACAGTCAACAGTTACATATCAATATTTGCAGGTGATGCTAGCGTAAGCATGAAAATCAACTCGGTAGAGAACAAAAAAATTGCAGGAAGATTATAAAAATAAAGTCCTCCATTGTGCAGTGGAGAATAACTTGATATTCATAGTGACAAGTTCCAACTGCTTAGATATGCAAAAAAAGAACTCAAGAGGGAGACTATACAAAATGCAAGATCACCAAATAGAATGAAAGAAACCTCTAAAGATCTGGGTCAACTAACCTCTCACAAAAAAAAAATAAGGCAAATATCAGGAAAGCCAGAAAAACGATGGGGTGGATAACGAGAACATTTATAACAAGGAAAATAGTGCCAAGAGTGACATATTTTCATAACACTTGTCCTCTTTTGCTTAAAATATTGTTTGGTGTTAACTGCTCCTTTCTGGGCAGGAAAGATGTCAGAGCTGGAACAGATACAGAAAGAATTTACGGCCTGTATAGAGCCAATAAAGCATTTAAATTACTAGAAATGCCTCAAAGTCCTAAATATGTACTCAATGGAGTGGAGAAGAAGAGAGCTAAAAATATATGTGGAAGATGCGCGAGGGCCTGGTGCTTTATAACCTTTCCTGGTTTAGCACTTACTGTAATTTAATTACAGTGGACCCCTGGTTATCGGCCATAATCTTTCCAGAAGGTCGGACAATAACAGAAATGGCCGATAACCGAATTAATATTTCCCATAAGAATTAATGGAAATACAATTAATCCGTTCCAAACAAAAATATTCACAAAAAAATAATTTTTTTAACAATTATGTAAATATTACATACCTTTATTGAAGGCTAATGCTGGCTTCTGGAAGATAGGGAGGAGGAAAGAGGGAGGAGTTAGTGTTTGGAAGGGAAATCCCCCTCCATAAAGACTTTAGGTAGCGAAGCCTTCTCTGGGGTTACTTCCCTTTTCTGTTTTTTATTGCCACTAGGACCAGCTTGAGAGTCACTGGGCCTCTGTCTCACAAAATAACTGTCCAGAGTACTCTGTTTCTGGCATCTCTAAGATTTCCCTGAAGTGGGACAGGGTTTTGTCACTAAACATGTTGCAAATATGGCTTGTTTCAGCTTTGTCAGGGTGGTGTTTCTCTACAAAAGCTTGCACCCTAGTTCACATTGCACACACCTCTTTAATCTCTGAAGTAGGCACCTCCTTCACTCCCTCTTCCTCCTCCTTCTCTGAAGCAAGTTCCTCAGCCGATAGTCTGTTGCTGTTCAAGATGAAGCTCTTGCAGCTCTTCAGTGGTTAGCTCTTCCCTGTGGTCCTCCACCAACTCTTCCACATCCTCGCCACTCACCTCCAACCCCAGGGACTTTCCCAGTGCCACAATAGAGTCCACAGGGTCAGCAGGGTCACAATCTGGCCACAGTTTTCTCCAAGCAGAGTTCAAAGTCCCTCCCAAGCCTTACCTATAAGGCTTATGCAATGGAGGATAGTGAAGCGATTCCTCCAGAACTGTCGTAGGGTCAACTGAGTGTCTGAGGTCACTTCAAAGCACTTTTGAAACAATGCTTTGGTGTAGAGTTTTTTGAAGTTAGAAATGACCTGCTGGTCCATGGGCTGGAGGAGAGGAGTGGTGTTAGGAGGCAAGAACTTCACTGTGATGAAACTAAAGTCCCTAAACAATTGGTCTTGCAAGTCTTGAGGATGTGCAGAAGCATTGTCCAGTACCAGGAGGCACTTGAGTGGCAATTTCTTTTCCAGGAGGTATTTTTTCACACTTGGGCCAAACACATCATTAACCCACTTTGTGAAAATTTGCCTTGTGACCCATGCCTTATGATTAGCTTTCCACATCACACACAATCTATTCTTCACGACATTGTTTTTCTTGAACACACTGGGATTTTCTGAGGGATACACGAGTAAAGGCTTCACTTTGAAATCCCCACTAGCATTATCACACAACAAAAGAGTAAGCCTGTCTTTCATAGGCTTGTGTCCTGGTAGTGCCTTTTCCTCCTGGGTAATGCAGGTCCCGCTTGGCATTTTCTTCCAAAACAGGCCTGTTTCGTCACAATTGAACACTTATTGGGGCTCGAATCCTTCAGCCTTTACATAGTCCTGGAATTCATGAACATACTTGTCAGCTGCACTTTTGTCAGAACTTGCAGCCTCACCATGCCTTACAACACTGTGTATGCCACTACGCTTCTTAAATCTATCAAACCATTCTTTGCTGGCCCTAAATTCACAAACTGCAGTAATTGTTCCAGGCATTTTCTTTGCAAGATCCTCATGTAACTGCTTTAGCCTTCTCACAAATGATCAACTACACAACACTGTCTCCCACTAATTCTTTTTCCTTAATCCACAATAATAATAACTTCTATCTCTTCCATTATTGGTGGCCTTTGTTTAGTTAGAAAAGTTACTCCTTTTGCAACATTAGTGTCTTTGATTTGTTCTTTCTTTGCCAGGATGGATGTAATTGTTGATTTATTCTTACTGTACATCCTGGCAAGTTCCATTACCTTCATACCACTCTCAAACTTTTCTGTCACTTCATTCTTAAATTCCATGGTGTTTCTCACTTTCTTTACCACAGGAACTTTACTAGGAACTTTCTTTGGAGCCATCTTTACTTATTTCACAGTTGCACTGCAAGAAAAACCACTAAAAACAATGGTAAACAAGCGAAATGTTTGGATGTATGAGCAGAAGCTTCCTCAGCCACTGAGAGACAAAGCCAAACTAAAGCACAAGCTGCCCCAGCTGGCGGATGGACGCATCCAAAACGGCTTAGAACCGAGTGAACGGCTGATAACTGGGCGCCGAAAAACCCACCGATAACCGAGTTGGCCGGTAACCAAACCGGCTGATAACCGGGGGTCCACTGTATATTATTATTATTGAGGACCTGATCCCGAATCTGCACACTGCCATAACAACATACTGGAGTGAGAGATATGGAAGAATATGTAAAATAAACCCTGTGAAAAACCAGAGGTGCCATGGGCCCAGATTATTTAACATTCTATCACAAGATCTCAGAAACACTGCCAGAACAAGCATGAAAGTTTTCAAGAGGAAATTAGATATGTACCTCTGCCAGATACCAGATCAATCAGGTTGTGATGGATATATGGGCCAGCAGACTGGTGGCAGTAACAGCCTGGTTGATCAACCAGGCTGTCATGGATATATGAGCCAGTAAGCTGCTGGAAGAAACAACCTGGTTGATGAGACAAGCACCAGACAACCCTAGCCCAGGGATGGGCTGTGAGAATAAGAAAACTCTTGAAAGTTTTTGGAGATATATTAAAGATGACTTCTACAGGTTTACAGTTTTAGCACTTCATCATCATCATAATAAAAATAATAATAATAATAATACTTGAAGACTGTAGATTGATAGACGGTAACCACCCAAAGAGGTACTACTGTCCTGCCAAGTGAGTGTGAAAAGGAAACCTGTAATTGTTTTACATGATGTTAGGACTGCTGGTGTCTTTTTTCTGTCTCATATACATGCAAGGTTTCAGGTATATCTGGCTACTTCTACTTACACTTAGGTCACACTACACATGCATGTACAAGCATGTATATAAACACCCCTCTGGGTTTTCTTCTATTTTCTTAGTAGTTCTTGTTCTTGTTTATTTCTGCTTATCTCCTTGGGGAGGTGGAAAAGAATTCTTCCTCTGTAAGTCATGTGCATTGTAAGGGGCGACTAACATGCCAGGAGCAAGGGGCTAGTAACCCTTTCTCCTGTATATATTACTAAATTCAAAAAGAGAAACTTTCATTTTTCTTTTTGGGCCACCCTGCTGAGGTGGGATATGACCAGTTTGTTGAAATAA